CTGATGAAAACAGACCTCAGTGTTGGACTGGAATGATCACAAAAAAATATACACATGTAAATGGCAGAGGTAACTTTTTTGTCTCCCAAGTGAACATGAAGCAGGTGGTGGGTCAGAGAGGAGGGCTGAGAAGTGACTGGAGGTATTAGCATGAGGTCCTATCTCAGACTCCCAGGGCAGGACAGACCATGAAGTAGCCAGCAGTGCAGCTATCCCTAACCCCTCTCCTGCAAAAGCCAAGAAGCATGTTCGCCTTCACCATTAGGGCTTTCTGCTTCCCCCACAAATACTTATATTTTTATCTTTAGTGGCCAGTTGGCTGGAACTGGACAGTGTTTGCCCCAGTCTGCACCACAAAAAGGATTCTAAAAAAGCAGTGTCCACACAGACTCAGGTGGCTACTATAAAAACGGAAAAAGAAAACAATCATCGGGAGGCTACAAGATGCTTAGAACCCTCTGTGTTTTGTGTGAAATAGTACAGCTAGTGTGGAGAACAGTAAGGCAGATCCTCAAAAAAAATTAAACATGGAATTAGCATGCCATCCAACATCCCACTCATAGCTATATCCAGAACAGGAAGCAGGGTCTCAAAAAGGGCTCTGCACATCCATGCTTCTAGCAGCACTATTCACAACAGCCAAGACATACAAGCACCCCACTGTCCAGCAGGAGCTGAGTGAATACATCAAATGTGGGGTACAGGTACAATGGAACACCTCTCATCTGGAAGAGGAAGGAAATTCTACCCCGTGCCACATGTGCCTGAACCTTTAAGACCTTATGCTAAGTGAAAGAAGGCAGACACAAAAGGAGCACGATTGCATGGTTCTGTTTATATCCCTCAAGGAGAAAGAAAGTGGAATGGTGTCTCAGGGGCTGGGGCAGGGGAACAGGGGGTTAATGCTTAATGAACACGGTTTCCACAGGAAGATGAAGGAGTTCGGAAATGAATGGGACCATGGTCACACAACAGTGTACATGTGCACTGTGAACCTCGCAGCTGCACCCTTAAACACAGCTAAACTGCGCATTTTCTATTGTGAATACTTCACCACAATCGGAATTTAAAGTAGGACCATGTTATTTCTCACTAGAATCTCCTGGTAAAAAGTCAGTAAACCAACTAGCAATAGATAGCTCTCTTCAAGCCAGGAGAAGTGTGCCTGAAAAGATGGGTCCTACTGAGTGCTCTGGGGCAGCTCTTCTGTTTTCGGTTGCATCTGGACTGCTGCCTGAATTTCCAGACCCTGCCCCTTGAGCTTCTTGACTCAGACAAATGCAGCCCTGGAAGTCACTGGTGTCAGTTGCTGGTTGCTGGTCCTAATAAGCCTGCTTACCTTTTGTAAACTTTCTACCATTCTCAGTTTACTAAAAATTATTATTAAGCCTGAATAATTTATTTTCTTAAATTCATTGATCAAATTTTTCTCTCTGAGGACAATAGCTTTCTTTCGTTTCAAATAATTTTTTTATTACAAAGATTTTTAGGATGCTCATAGTCTAGTTTCTTATATCATAAGTAAGCTCTAGGTTTAATATAATTGAAGTGCTTTCAATTAAGCTTTAGCAAGTTACACCTACATACCTACTGTGTCCTAGAACTTTCACTGAGCCCAAAGTATTTTGTCACAAGTATATTTTTCTTGCCTTGTGTTCTTCGTTCTGGTATCTATGACTGGCAGGGCATGCCTATTATAACCTTATTTTTCTCAGCATGAATTCACAGATAATTAGGATTTCTGTCACCCAAGACCAGATCAAACCTTCTGGACAGAGTGAAACAGCACATAGGATTACATGCATTTGTTTTAAAAAGAATTTTAAAGTGATATAACTAGTTTGTTCTTATTTCTCACTTTTCTCAATGGATATCCATTATTTCTGCCCTAAGTGATGCCAATTTGAATTAAAATATTCTTCACATGAAATATTTCTTTCATAATTGAGCCAGCAATACTCTCCATAATTAGGAGCATTGCCATGAGAGTGTTTGTCATATAAATAATTTCTCCATTTCCTTTATTTTCTGACACTAATTCTGGCAAAGGTCAAATTTATAAGACAATTTCAGCAAACCTTCACAGCTCTCCTAAACAAATCCACCTTTGACCAGCACCCTGGAGCCTAGTTACATGACTGAAATCTGCTCCCTGATCATTTGACCCTGAGTCCTGCTTGTATTACATCCATCACTCATTCAACAACTCCTTTTTCTTCAAAAGATTTTTTTCCCATGTTCATGAACTTCTGGTTGGGAAACCTGAGTCCATGTGGAGAGTTGTTACTCTGTCACACTTCGTTTAGTAAAAAGGGATGTTGTTTTCCTCACATTTCTATACCCAGATTTCTTTATGGCTTACCAAAAACAACCTTAAAAAGACAGGATGGAACAAGTCTTTTATGCTCAAAAAATACAATGGGAGAGCTTGGTTCAGTCTAAAAAGATTTCATTTTACTAATTTTAAGTTGCATTTGCTATTTTTATGCTACTTTAATCTGCATATCCTACTTCTAGAATTAAAAAGGAAAAAAAAATTATGTGACGATGTATCTCCTTCCTTTGCAAACCCAGATTGAGTTCTGGCAGATATAGCCTACATGCATGACTGGCCTGGCTTCTTGGTTAATATAAAACCCTCACTACTCTACCTGGGCACCTCCTGTTCTGTTTTCAACCAAGGTCTGGTCAATGTCTAACTTTCTATTGGATGTTTCATTTGAAATGGTTACCACTTCCTCCCTAGATGTGCCCCAAGCTGTGCTCCTACTCCCCAAGGAGTCTGGAGGTCTCCCCAGCAGTGCCCCATGATTCCACCCTTCCCAGATGGGGCCATCTTGGATCCTGGCTCCACCTCCAGGACTCCCGGTCCTCCGCCATCCAACCTGCACTGACTGCCTTCTGAGGGCCAGTTTCTTTTTGTCTCTGAAGTTTCTAAAACCTTTCCCTTTCTTACTATCTCTGTCATTCTAGTTCAAGTTCCTGTTGTCTGTGGCTCAGGTAAAATTAACCATTGCCTTTTCTGCCCCTGGCCCTCACCACATATCCTGGCAGACATCTGGCCTGCAGTTGTCCAGCCAATCTCTTGGAAAGGTCTCCTTCATTAAGTCATGATCCAGCCTAGAGGCACTCATGGATTTACACTCTACTGGCCTGTTTATGTACTTGCTAGATAGAGTCGGTATTAAGTATCTAGCAAGACTGCCACACATGGCTTCCTACCTTTCTGACCAGCTCCCATCACTGTCCAGTGCACAATATGGGGTCCATCTCCTTCCCTTCAAACCAAACTATTTGTATATTTGAAAATTTTCCTACTAATTCCAAATTTTACTGATATCACACTTCCTTGAAAAACACCTAGTGGACTCAATCCAATTTCACACTTCTCTTTCCTTTTCAGCACTACTTCTCACCAGCCAGTGTATGAACTCCTGCAGGTGGGGGTCACCCAACATTCTTCTCTATGTCTTTTGAGGGGCACAAGACTGATTTGGTGTAGAAGAAAGTTGGTTCATTCCTTACCTCCCTTCCATCCACTCTCCAGTAGGCATTATGAGACAACCTAGGGAGTTTATTTGTGACTCTGTTTGCTCTAGCTACTTCAAGAAAAGCAAGGGCAAACAAATGGCTTTAATGATTATTGAATAAGAACTGAAAGTTTTCAGGAGAGAGTGTGCAGCTGGAGGACCACTACAGAAAGCCACTTGGTGAGAGATGGGACACATTTTCACAGAGTCTAACACCTTCCCAGGATAAGGCACACTCTGGTGGATAATAGTGTCCAGCATGAAAATACATTTTGGGGGTTTTGAGCTAAGATCCTTCTGATTACTTGCCCATTCAAAATCAGATGTCTCCATAAATGTTTGAATTAATAGGATGGGTGGGGTTGTCTAAAATGTTTCCATAACTGAGATCTTGGCCAGGGCTCCCCAGATGATTTGCATATGCAGACTCTGTCAGTGTGTTTCTGGAGTCTGGTGAAAAATACAGGAATGAAAGTCAGAAATTGCATTTCCTGCTTGGCTTAAATGAAGGACAACTTGAAGAGTGGGAGCTGCCTTCACCCTTGGCTGGGCAACAACTGTATCAGAGTGTTCTGTTTTGTTCTGGCTAGATGGTGTCTACTTATCAAAAGCAGGAAATTGCATTTTAACTTGGATCTGTAGGATGCCAGGGAGGGACTGATCTGGTTAGGATGATGGAAGTGGAAGGACTAGGGCAGAGTACAGCTAGTACTGGACCATCATTGGGTCTGCAGCCATTGGGAGATTGACAGAGACAGATACTGCATTTAAAAAAAAAAGAAGAAGAAGAAAAAGAAAGACCTGGGTGGAAGATTTGAGCACGCTTGCCTTGTCCAGATGTGAAGAACTTGCAGAGTTGTTGTCTGGATCTGGAAGTGACACTGCCCATGCAAAACTCAGACTACAGAGCTGGAACATGCTAACCAGCTATGCTACAATGCAAGTGCTCATCCAGTTAAGGGCCTGAAGAAGAGACAGGCTGCAGTCATCTGATGCCAGATTACAGGCACCATTGATATTGAGATAGGAACATTTACACACCGTGAAAGAGCTTGGAGGAAGTGAAGGAAAGGCATGTTTTCTGAGCAGTCTTTTGTTTATGCTTAGTTTGTAATGAATGTAGTAAGAGATCCGAGGACTAATTTTAGCTAATTAAAAGACAATGAGACCTATTAGGGAATTTTAATATACAGGAATATGAAAGCCAAATCACATTTATTCACTCTTCTGTAAACAAAAGAAAATAAATACTAATTGGACATTTAGCAATTAAAATTTGATCTAATAGCATCCATAGAACTAGTTGATTCTTACCTTTTAAATAGGTGTGCAGAAAGCCTGAATTCACCCGTTTTCCAAATAAAAGATATGTGATGTATGTGTGTGTGTGTGTTTCAAAGAAAAGGAAAAAGAGCAAAGAAAGACAGGTTTAAATACAAAACACTTAGCACACACACAGGGAAATGTGGAGTTTATTAGAAAGCAAAGTGATATGAGAGAGTATACTAACATTACAATGTAAAGTGGAAGCTGGAAGTTTGTTTTCTTCCATTCTTTGTAAATTCCTGTAAGTCGGGTCACATTACAACCATTATTTTCACATTATATGGAAGGGTAAATAATAAATCAAATATACAAAAAACACTATTGTATTTTCCTAAATCTCCATTGCCTTTTTTCTGCTTGCATTAGTCCAACAGTCTTTCGATAAGGAAATCAGTATTTTTTTATTTTACTGTAAATGTTAGTCCTTCAATAATAACAGCAAAGGACTGCAGATCAGAAAATAAACCAATTGGACTAAAGGTTTACTTTTTTTTTTTTTTTTTACAAAGACCTTTATTTCAAAAAGATGCCCACAGACTTGGAACCAGACATTTCCTAGGGAGACTTTTCACAGCATACTTCATGTAAAACTACAGGCAGAGGACGTCTGAAAGGTAGATTCAAAAGGAAAAGAAGGGCAGCTTTCCCAAAAGTAAAGAAGTCAGTGTCATAAAATTCTTAATGCTTATAAATCGACTTAATTAAAATATTAAGAGTCAGCCTCCCCTTTGTATGGTAATATTTACAGGAAGAGTTTTGCATAGGAAAGGCCTAAGCTTTATTTATTTTTTTCTTTACTTACATCCCAACCAGGGCTGGTTAAAACATAGTTAACGTACCAGCTGCAATTAGCCAACTGTCAAAGACTCCGCTCCCAACCGTCGATCAGCTTCATTTAACTAATTTGAGAAGTAGAAGTTTGATTTTTTTTTTCCAGGAAGGTAGCTTGTTTCCTTATTTCCTGTCAAGGGAGCCAGGTTCTGTGACCTATGGTGAAAAGGGCTCTTTGTAATTAAGGCAGGGAGTCTCCAACTCAACAGTTCTCACAGTAGGAGGGAAATTTAAAAAAAAAAAAAAATTTTTTTTTCGGAAAAAAAAAAAGAGGAGGAGGAAGAAGCCAGACCTCACTGCTTCGCAGCAGGCTGCGAGGGGCGCGCAGCCAATGGGGGGCCGCGCCGCCGGGCCGAGCGCAGCCATTGGCTGGGCTCCACTCTGAAGGCCGCGTCTATTAAGACCTCGCTTGGACCACGCGGGGCGGGGCTCCCTGCGCATCCAGGCCGGGGACAGGCGACCAGAAACCGATCAACCGTGTTATATCAATAACATTCCCACACCAGGTTGTGTAAATTGATCTTTTACAATTTCTCTCGGTGACAGTCTCTGTAACCAACAAAATAAATCATTCCTCCCGTGGCTTTTTTATTGATTGCTGAGACCTGTATAAAAATTACACAGCTCAAGCTGCGAAGGGAACATCCTCATAAAAGAAGGCTTTTTATTTACAATCAAAATATGTTTGGACCCAGATCAAGTGCAAATTTAGTGGCACAAAACTACAAGAACACGGAAATTTAACAGACTCCGAGAAAAGTAAAAATTAGAAACACATCCGCCCACACTCCACCATCCCAAACTTCACCAATATGCATCCCGCATCTCAAATCGAGGACGCTGCTTTGTTTTCTGTCAAGAATGCGAAGGGTTACACATTTGATTTTAAGATTAGCAGTCAACAGGAAGCCATGATAAAAACGAGACGGGAAAACTGCCACTACTAAATTAAATCTATGTCATGGATTTCACAAGGTAGCTAACGGGTGCAGCGGTTACAACCGCTGCTCTGACACAGGAACCCCGCTCCCTTCCTGTCTTACCCTGCAAGCTTTGGTGACAGACGGAACCTTAGAACAACACAAAGCTCGCCCCGGGGACCACCCCCGGTGTATTCTGGAGGAATTCCACTTGCACTATTGTCTGGTCCTGAAAATATCTTTCGTTCTACCCTAGGATGATTTAAAGTTCTAGAGTACTTAGAATTTTACAGATGTAGTCAAAGTATAATCAATGGATACCTTTGAATCTATATTTTATACCAAAACTGCCTTGGAGTATGAACTTTCTTTCCCATTCTAACTTTCTGTTCTACTAAAGAAATGAACCCACTTACATTTCCAGAAGAAGTCGACACTGTGTCCCTTAAACTTCTCCAGGCTCCCTCGGGACCAGATTTGTATCCCCTGCTAATGGCTGTGGTTGCGGGAGGCGTGGCCCCAGGTGCCGAATCTATTTGTTTTTATTGTGAAAGGAAAACGTTAAGTATTTTTGCATCTTCTCCTAAGAGGAGTTAAAGATGTTTATAAAATAAAGAGAATTGCCCTAAGTTATCGCTGCCTAAAATCACTGTCCCTGCAGGGCCTGTGGGCAGATATTGTGTTTCAACTTCAACCGCGTTTCACAGACCTAGGGATCTGAGTGAGCGCAGCCTTTTGTACACATCTAAGAGCGGGGACAGAGATAGGCTTTCTGTCTCTTCCCCCGAGCCACAGCCCGACTCCTGTGAAGCTGGGCTCTTTATTTGCCAGCTTAGAGAAGGCGCTTTCAGGGCAGCCCGGAGGGAGGAGGGGCAGAAAGAGGCGCTGCAGGCCCTGGTGTCTCCACCCTGTCCCGCCGGGAGGAAAGGCCGGGGTCGCTGCTGGGTGACCCTGGCCTCCCGGGTCCCAGCAGCGATGCACACTTTGGAGCGGGCTGTGGGGAGAGGGGAGGGGAAGTATAGGCGGGCTGTCTATAAAGGGCCCTCAGCTGGGGCCCGGCGGGCGTGCACGGGGCGCCCTGGGCTGCAACGGGGCGCATCTGGGACCCCTGTGCCCACTCTCCTGCTTGGATTCTCCGTGATTCTTGATCGACTTCTTGGAGGGCTCTGTGCATTTTTGTGCATTCTTCCCCGGCGGTGGAAGCCACCAACGGACCCCAGGAAGAGCCAGTGGTGGCGGTGCGGGTTAGGGACGCCCCTGGAGCACATGGTGGCCGCTCTTGGCGCCTGAGGAGGGAGCAATCAGCTGCCCCCGGGGTCCCAGCAGGAAAAAGCCGCCTTGCCAGGAGCCTTGCACACCGAGGTCAAGGGCGGGGACAAAGGCAGGAGGCGGGGGGAGCGGGGGCTGGCCTTTTTGGGGGGATGGTCTTGCTTTTAAAATAGAGTTTAATGCAGATCTTGTCAGATGGAGACAAGATAGGAAAATCACTAGATGTGGGCATTCCTTCCCAAGAAGTGCCTTTGGAAATGTTTTTATTTTGAACCACAACAGCCGCCCCCCCCCAAGAAAAACTGCATTCTTCTCAATTTCAGAGAAATAAAATGACTTAAGGTTGGGCTTTCTCATTCTGTTTAGTCTGTGTGGTCTTCCCTCTTTCTCCACCATACCCCCCCAACTCCAGAGCACTGACCCAGAAAAAGAGGAATGGTTTTAAATTCTTTTTTTTAACCTGAAACGCAACTGTGTGTGTGTGTTTGCCAAAATAACACCTATAAATGTAGCTTCATCGGCTACATTTCTGGTTTAAAGGCCCATTCTGGAGTTTTCCTCAGTCATTGCAGGCTAGGGCAGCCAACTTCTTCGCCAATCTCACATTGGCCCCTAACTCATGAAATTCAATTAAATGAGTCCAGAGCTGACTGCTACACGGGTGCAACTGTTTACTTCTGAAACAGTGTTCACTCCTGCTGCAGCTCGAGAGCTTTTCTTTTCTTTAATTCTTTTTGCCATCAGAATGTGATCATCTGGAGGACCCGTGTCCATGGGTACAAGGCAGGTAAAGAGGCCTGGAGTCCTTCTCTACTGTCCAAGACAGAAGGCAGCCACCCAGGCCTGGGATGGGCTCTTGGGGTCCCTGACACTTCCTCTTCCCGTGTCTAAGTCACAGCACGCCAGAACTTGCACAGAGTCCAACTCTATGAGAAATGAGCTGGAATTGGCCCTCCCTGGTTGGCCTGTGGTGGCAGAGTGAGGGGTACCAGGTGCCAGGTGCCCAGAAACCCAAAAAAAGAAAACAGCAGAGATGGTATCTCTTTCCATGCACTCCTGCCATCACCACAAAAGTTGAGGCTGGGAAGGCCTGTAGGTTGCATGTCTTTTTTGGTTGGGTAGAGAGGGAACCTGACCACAAAACCCAGGGGTGGCCTGTGGGAGGGAGGGATGGGATGTGGGACCATCCATAGTCTAAGGGGATGGTGGGAAGCCAGCAGGAGCAGTGACCACCTGGTGAAGGGGTGAACCAGAGGACATTTTCTTTTTTTGATTTATATCCTTTTTTATTTCTCTCTGAAATCTAAATTTTTCGGTTGTCTGAACCAGGGTGACTCCTCACCTCCAAGTTTTTGGGGGAAGGAGAAGCAATGTGGAATAAGAAGAAAGGAAGTACAAGTGAGAGCCACCTCCTGGGAAGCAAGGTGACCTCACAGCTTCCTACAGACCCACAAAACAGGATGCCTTGTTGCTGTGCCTGAGAGCCTGAGAAAGAAAGCTTACCCTGCGGTGAGCGGGTTGAGTCCTCTCCACTCATAACCTTAAGCTGTTTATGCTCCAACTCAGGACTTGCTTCCAGACTGCAGGATGCTCATGAGTGACTTCTCTGGGACAGAGATTTCCTGAAAACCCACTTGGAGACAAAAAGAACAGGGTACATAATTCAAGATAGGCCCCTGAATTAGGGTGGACGATGATTTTGTTCATCTTCTCAGGTTCTGGGAAGATTTCTATTAAAATCACATCTTCTTGGGCTGGGGATTTAGTGGCGCCACCGCCTGCCTCACAAGCACAAGGTCACCAGTTCAATCCCCGGTACAAAAAAAAAAAAAAAAAGAAAGAAAGAAAGAAGGAAGGAAGGGAGGAAGAAAGGAAGGAAAGAAAATCACATTTTCTCATCACTCAAATAGAAAGAGAGTCCAAAAGCATATCTCTCCAACTCCAAACACAAATAGTATTCCACAGAAGACAAAATTTCTACAAAGTGGAAAGTGAGGAGTAGAGAAGAACAACTTCCAAGTTAAAGCCTATTATTTTTATGAATATATTGATCTTAAGAAACATTTCCACAGGCAGAATATGCTGTCCCTCAAAGTTCATACACAAACCACTTCCAGTCTAGACTTTCAGGACACTGGCAAAGAATAATTCCATTTTATTCTCTACTTGATGCTGAGAAGGTCTTTTCCCATGAATAACTTGTTCCTTCAACAGTTTGATAATTTTGCTATGACCTAAAGTAGTTTTAAAAAATTGGAGGGCCAAAGTAAACTTGAAGCCTCGAAATTCACATTACTCTACACTTCCCATAGCACACTGTCCAGTCACTCCAAACAATCAAACAGACTGCAATCACAGTACTTACTTGTGACAATATTAGTTTCTTTTTTGCCTCCTATTATTTAAACCTCTGTGTGTGGTTTCCCTTCTCCATCTTCTGTCCCCTAAAGGGAAAGACCCGAGACAATTCTGGATTCTTCAATGATTCCATTCGGTTGTCCCTTGTAATAAGCTTGAATGATTTCGTTATTTCCCATCTATTTGCAGGTTGTGGGGATAATGCATTTAAAGAGAAGGAAAAAGAGAATAAAATAAATTATCATTCTAACTTTGCATTAGAAGCATATCACAAATTCTTGAAGAATTGTTTGTGTAGTGAAGGGATAATAAAAGGCAACTGGCAGAAGAAAGAAAATATATCCTGGAGCCCTGTGCCTGAGTGTGCCACACAAGAGGCAGCCTTGAAGGACCTGGGACAGCAGCCTGCATCTGCCAGTCATTCCCCATGTGCCTTGGGATCAGTCACTTAACCTTTCTGAGTCTCAATTTCCCCATGAGCAACATGGCAGTTATTATAATAACACTCCTACTAGTACTTCGCAAAGAACAATGATGACAAATGAATTGCAAACCATATTGTATGTGTTAAGAATGATATACAAGTGCTAAGAAATAGATAAGCTTGTAGTTCAAAATATACTTTTCCAGAAAGGACAGAGGAATGTTGCAAGCATGAAGTGATAACAAGAATTAGGGATCATCATGCAGATAGAACCCAGGGAATCCTTTAGAAAGAATCAATGCTGCATACACTGAACCAAAATGACAGTATGGAAAAGGAAAATTAACTTGTATTTCTATTTAAAGTATTGCCAGAAACCATGTTGGTATAACAAACCATGTGATATGTTTAGCATCACTCTAAAATTGCTGTAGAAATATTGAATGGGTATTATGTATTTTCTATGTGGAAAATAGGTGTACAAGTTAGAGAAGTCATTTTCTATAAAAAACAGTAAAGTGGCTTTTTGGGAGGGAGTGGGGTCCTGGGTATTGGACCCAAGACTTTCACACTGAGCTCCCCAGCTCTCTCCCTTTTCTTTTTTTAAATTTTCAGGCAGGATCTCATCAAGTCACTAAGTTGTCCAGGCTGGGCTTAAACTTGAGATCCACATAACTCAGCCTCCCATGATGCTGAGATTACAAGTGTGCCTCACCAGGCTTGGTTTTAAAGATGTCTTGTTTAGCATTTATTGTGCATGTCTTGTACTGTGACTAAAGATGCTTCCACATGTAGCCGTGCTGCTATAAATATGGGTATGCATGAATCTCACTGTAATGTGATGTCTTTAGTTCTTTCAGGAAGATACCTAAAAGTGTATTAGTTGGGTCCAGCAGAATTTCTAGTTTTATTTTTTTGAGGGATCTCCATACTGATTTCCATATTGGTTGTACTAGTTTACATTCCTACCAACAATGTAGAAGGAGTCCATCCGACCCGAGCGGCCTTGCCAGCACTTGTTATTATTTGATTGCTTGATGATAGCCATTCTTTCTGGAGTAAGATAGAGTCTCAATGTTATTTTAATTTGCATTTCTCTAACAGCCAGAGATGTAGAACATTTATTATGTATTTATTGGTCACGTATACTTCTTCTGTGGAGTGTCTATTGATAGTCTCTGAAGAAATAAACAGAAAGGAACACCACACTTCCAGTCACTTCACTTCCAGGAGTTTGTGGCTAAAAAAAAAAAACAACATGATCATCACTTTCACACCCTGAGATTGAACTGTAAGAATGATCATCCCGGGGCAGGGGATTTAGCTCAGTGGTTCCGGCACCTGCCGCGCAAGCACAAGGACCCGAGTTCGATCATTGGTACCAAAAAAAAAAAAAAAAAAAAAAAAGTTTAAGAATGATCATCCCAGCATCACTTGTCCTGTTGTCCAAGTGGAAACCATTCTAAATGTGTACTCAGGAGACTGTTGGTTAAATGAGCTGTAGCATGGGCATGAGATGTAGTGCTCTGCAGCTAAAGGGAAAGATGCAGGGTGCAGAGGAAGAAGTGATGATCAGAGGGTGTAGAACATGTGCTCCTCTCAGAAGGAAGTGAGAAATTATACCCAGGTTGTGGTTCAATTTTGAAGCAGGAAGAAGTACAAGGCAGGATCAGCTGGGTTATGTGGCAGTGTGGCAGAACTCAAACATGCTGGTGGTGTAGGAGGACAAGGCTCACTGACACCCACTGTGGCAGCAGGCAGTTTCTGACACACCCTCCTTCCATGGCCCAGAGTGACAAGCAGCTGTCTCACACATATAGGCCTTTGTGGCAAAGGCCAAGAGGGCTCTCCCAACAGGAACCACTTGTCACACTGTATACCCAGAAAGGGGCTGGTGAGCACTAACATTGCTGAAAATGTGAAGTACATGTCTGAGTTCAAACCCTGAGTCTAAATGATAATAGAAACAAGGCAAGAATGTCCAATGAGTCAATTTCATATTGATTGGCATTGAAGTGACAGCATGTTGAATGTCATCAGTGAAAGAAAATGTATTATTAAAATTAATTTTGCCTCTTTCTTTTACATTTTTAATGTGCTATTGGAAATGTTCAATTACATGTGTAGCTCACAGGTATGTGAGCCAAATGGCTGCACTTTATTGGCTAGAGCAGGTCACATGACTCTACCCAATCCCAAGAAGGCCAGGAAGTTACATCCCACAGACACTCAAGACAGTCAGCTGGAAATAGATGGTGAACAGGCTTAAGAAATGCCACAGAAAGAGAAAAGGGGGAAGGAGGGAGGGGAAAAAGATTTTTGGAGAATTTTTTTGGAGATTTTTTTGGAGAATGTGCAGTTTCCCCTGGATAGTACATTCAAGATCTAAGCAGTCTACCTCTGAAACAAATAATGTGGACTGGTGAGGCTTCCCTCTACCAGCTGATGGAGAGAGAAATGCCACAAGTGTTAAAATGGGCAAGTGGCTGGAGCTACAGCTCCATGCTGGAGCACTTGCCCAGCATGGTCAAGGCCCTGGGTTCTATCCCCAGCCCTGCAGAATAAAAATGCTGTTGGCAAAGAAGAAATAAGGCCCAGCAACAATTGGGAGAATGAAACAAAACACACCAGGATAGACATTGAAGAAGCAATTGAGCTGCAGGTTCTGGGGCAACTCCACATAGTGCCCACTCTCCGAGAGGAGGAGCAGCAGGGGTTCACTCCTGCATGGGTGTGTGGGTTTTCTCCGTCTGAGGAAAGCTGGGGTAAGCAAGTGTGTCCACACACGACAAAACTGGAATCACTCACCGACTAGCCTCACTGTCATTATTGCTAGGTGATGGAATCCCATGTGATTTTTTAAATTCTCTTCACTTTATTTTTTAGATCATTTACAAAAAACAAATAATGTTCAAAATGACTTGTAATGCCCATGGCATAGGTGGCCAACTCTATGATAGGTGATTTCAAAGACAGGAAGACAAGACAACAGACCAGTAGAAAGCCGATGCTATGACTACTGCTGGCTCACTTCATTTCTGTCTTCCTAGGTTAACACATTCCCACCAGCTTGAACATGCATGGTACAATACATGCATGACTGTCCCATCAGATAGTTTATTCCACTGCATGAGACTGTCCTGTGGTGCCCAATGGGACAGTCATGCATGTGCCACCAGTGGTTTACGCCACCTGACAGCAAGTCACCTAAATTACAGCCCCATTGTGAATCCACCTATAACACTGGGGTAAGATTGGTTCTTACCTAACAGAATTGTGTGGGAAAAAAATATAATGAGATTTTATATGTGTTGAAGTAAGAACACAAAGAAACTTTGCCACAAATGTTATCTATTATTATTAAACTCTAGCTCTCTTTCGGTTTTCAAATTTAAAATGAAGTCCAAAACCAGCAGAGACCTGCTCCAGTCTCCAGCTGATGTTTGGCGAAGCATTAGTAGGATCCTCTTTGAAGGGCTCTGCCCAGGAAATAGATTTCCTTTCCTCCTCCTGTCTACTCCAGCCATTGATATGCCAGGAGAAAAAAACAAAGACTTTCACATTTTTGCTGCTCTATCTCCTGAATTAACACTCTGTTTTTGAATTTAAGAAAGCAAAATACCGTTCAGTGTTTTAAGAGTGAATAAAATATATAAAAGGGAGAATGGCTTTGACACGTTAGCATTAATGTGAATGAGACTCCGGAAATGAAATTCTGTCTAGGAGTGCTTTCCTTTCAAATGGTTTTACCAATTTTCAAATGAATAGACAATTTTGTTTCATTCTCTTCAAATTTACAAATTAATATTTTTAAGAGATAGAGTTAATAAGCAGTTGAGTTAAAACATATTAAAAGCTATAAAGGTTTCCTCTATTGAAGCTTGGAGTTTCGCTATATAAAACTGACTTCAAGTTGTAATAAAAATGGCAATATCATACAATACTATACTTGTATTTCTCAGTTCAATTGCTTTTTATTTTCAAACTGTAGGCAACTAAGACATGCCTGAGTGAAGCCTCCTAAGAACTACATAATTAATCTAAAATGCTCAACTAACATATGGAATTCTTCAAAGAAATATCACACCTTTGATGGGGACAATCAAATTGTTTTAACATGAGGCTTAAAGAGTTGTGCTACAAGCTATTCTGATTCATCTTAATCAAGCAACTTGTAGTTTGTGTAAATTTACAGGTATTTTATTAAAATATTCCAGGAGTTAGGTAGCTACTCTAATTTTTTTTTTTTTTTTTTTTTTTTTTTGTACCAGGGATCAAACTCAGGACCTTACGCTTACAAGGCAGGCAGCAGAACCACTGAGCTAAATCCCCAGCCCTACTCTAAATATTTTAACAAAATACCTGTAAATTTGTGCAACCAAAACTGTACCTCCATTCAGTAAAACAAACAAACAACAACAACAAAAATGGTGCCAACAGCCAGGGAAAGTAGGAGAAGGCTAAATCTCAGAAGATCCTAGCTGACTCTACAACCTCCAAGTGAAATCAAAGGTTAAAAGAAATTGCAGGTTTAGCATCTCATTAAAATAAAATACTTTAGACTCACTTATTTTACTATTTGGTGTTTAAAAACTTGAACTTTCTGATCAAATGTTTCAGCTCTATGTTTCTTTTTTCTTTTTCTTTTTTTTTAAATTCTTTCGTATGTGCGGTTGTCTTCTAAATTTCCATTGAAAAGATGTACATGTGCCAGTCAGAAAATGCAAATATTAAGGGATTTTATTCATAACAGGC